TATATATATATATATTTATTTATTTATTTATTATTTCCTATTAATCTGGCAATTGATCGATTTTCTATTAGTGGTTTGTAAATTAGACATAATATTTGATTATGAAAAAGATTACATATGTATGCACGTGCATACACACACATATATACATGTTTGTGTGTGCATGTGTTATTCCAGATGTGTAAATGAATACATATATACAAATACGTATGTAGTGACTTTAAAGTTATCTTAAAAAATATTATTGATTTTGTGAATCTATTATAATTAAATTTGAAAAAATATACTCCATTCCAAATATTGACAACGGAACATGAATATACATTGATAATGACGGTATTTTATATGTATAAACATGTTGACATTATGTTTGAATACCCCAAATAGTTCATGTAAAATAAGGCCTTATACTTGAGGATGCCATTTGAGATGAGAACATAATATTGATCTATTTGAAATTTAAAAATGCTCCAACTATTACCAAATAAAAAATAAAAAAAATACTCCAACTCCGAGTTACCTTCGTTGTATTGGTTACCAAAATATATCTCTAATGAAACAATTGTTAAATACTACTACGTGTTAGTTGTGTGCAACAATCGCATTAATAAATTAAAGCTGCATCCACTTTGCTATAAAAGTTGATTAGGTTTTGACTGATTCACTTCCACCGTTTAGTGTATTGACAAACTAGCATTGGCATTTCCTAAGTAATGAATTGTCATTCACTCTCTTTCCAAATATATTTACAGGTATATAAATACACTTCTATATGAAAAACTTCATTATTTGTAATCAACTGACTCATTGAGCATATTTGTTTAGTGTTAAATTTGATTACCTATTAAATATTATTTCCATGCATATGATACTTTCCCTTAAATAAAAGTTTTAATCATAATTATCATCTCACATTAATATGATACCACCATAATTCTCAATTTCACATTTAACACGACACATAATAAATAATTAATGAGTTATCTTTAAAATAAATTACAAATGGTAAAACTAAAATATTCAATAACCCTGTGATTTGACTCAAAGTAAGAATATAGTATATATATTATACTTTCTAAAACAAGTGCATAAAAATATTTGTTATTCGTTTTTTAATTAAATGTGGTCATTATGTGCTTGCTTAAGTAACATTCTAAGTATGAAGTATAAGCAATTGTACTCCATAATATGTGATTGCTTTTCACATTACTTTATATATCTATCTAATGATTGGAATTCTACTATAAGTAAGATTGAGACAAATTTAAATCTTAAGTACAGAATTTGCTGTACATCTTTGTTGTCATTCCTACTGATTCATAATCACATTTCTAAGTTAATTTTTTACTGTCAATTTCACTTTTATTCATTAGAATTACCAAAAATATCATATTAATGGAGAAAAAAACAGAAACATCGCGAACGAATTAAGTAGCAAATCAACACAGTTGGAGATTGTTACTTTCTATGATTAGCATATTTGTTCTACTATTTAATTGGAGTTTTTACCAAAAATTAGTGGGATGCAAGTGACACTTTCTAAAAAGTCGTTGGTCACTTGAAAAAATTAGAAAACATTTGGATTGGCTTACACCGCAGTTAACAATGAAGAGAGAGAGAGAGAACAGAAATAGTAGAAGTAGAAATAGATAGAGAAAATACAAGACAAAAAGGAAAGAGAGAGGAGAGAGAAAGAGAGGAAAGGGAACCGTCTGATAGTCAAACCCAATACACCAACAACATCAACGCCAAAAAGTTCTCGCCGGTGTTATCTCCTCAGGTTTTCCGGTGAACTGTTCCTGATATTCATGCTTTATCTGATCATCAAATTACGTCAGCGCTCGGCGGCAGCGGCGGCGGTGGACGGTGGCGGCGGAGTAAGCGGTGGAGGACTGAAAGAAGTTGAAGTGGTTGATTCTTCTTTCCGGTGGTTACTTGCTGGTTACCGGTGAGAGATTCTAAAAATTTCGTATTTGATTATATATTATGAAGAAAAGCCAAAACAGCAGCAGCAGCAATAGCAACAGTAATAATAATAAAAACAAGGTGAAGAATGGGACAAATACCAATGGATTTATCCCCAATTCTCTCAAGTTCATCTCATCTTGCATCAAAACGGTGTCGACTAATGTCCGCTCCGCCGGTGCCTCCGTCACCGTTTCCGTCTCCGATGATCACCGCAAAGACCAGGTCCCTTTCGGTTTCCTTCATTCCATTTTATGCTTTTGAGTGTTGATCATTTCATTCTTATAGTTGATTTATGCTAGTCAGTTGATTTTGATAAGGCTAGTCAGTTGATTTTGGCGAGTTAAGATGAGGATTCAAGTTATAGATTTGTTAGAAGGTTGAAAAGACTTATTCCAAATTATTATTCTCACTTTGTATTGTGTGTTATTATCTACTCATTAGGTATTTGGATATAGCATTGTGTGTAGCGGAATTGGCTCGGAAACTACATTTGGTATTGAAATTGAGATCGTTTACTCTGAGAGTTCAACTGAATAATTTTGAACAATGCTATGTAGATAGAAATGTGGATGTTTATGACAAAAAGAAGAAATATTTGATGTCTAAAAAAATCGAACTCTAGAACCAAGGTTATGTGGCATCACGGCCAAAAGGACTGGAGCTTGAAATGGATGTGGTACTGCATACTGCTCCTACTCTTTTAATTTTGTTTGCTCGAAGAGTGTGTTACATTACTACGGAAAGTGAGATTAAATGATTGTGAGTGCATTTTAACTGTGCAACATGATTAGATGTTTAGGTTCCTACTTCCTAGCCTTTATTTGGACTTGATTTGTGCTATGCTAAGTTGGCAGGGAGATAATTCACCCCATAGTGTTCTTTTTTTTTTTGATGAAGTAATTCACCCCAAAGTGTTTATACATTTCAGTTGTTTTTAGGGTCAAACCATAATCGTTTTATTAATTCTTTGGGTAGGCTAGACAGTTCCCTATTCTTTTGATTATGTAGAAGATCTATTAGGCACATTGTATTTCAATTTAAGTTTCTTCTTTTCATCTTCTGAGCAGTGTTTAAAAAAGCGCTCGCTCGCTTCATCGCTTTAAGCGAGAAGCGAGGCGAAGCGTGAAAGGCAGCGCTTCAGCTTGCTGAAGCGACTCGGGTCAGTAAAAGCGACCGCTTCTCTGTAAAAAGCGAGAAGCGGGGAAAGCGAAGCGAAGAGAAGAAGCGTTTGCTTCTCTGTATTAAAATACCCAACCCTATTTTTTTTTTTTATAAGGTAAATTGTATTAATCAAAAGGGAGAGAATTTACATCAGAACATGATTCTCTACAAAAGACGCCCAATCTTCTATACAAGTAGGGGCCAAGTGAGTGCACCAAAAAGCGATCAAAGATAAAAGGCTATTCTTAAGATGTGAAAAAGGAGACTCAATCTCCTCAAAAGCTCTCCTATTTCTCTCCCCCCATACTACCCACATGAGAGCTAACGGAGCGAATTTCCACGCCTTTTGCTTTCTTCTTCTACGGAAACCGCCCCAGCTATATAACATTTCTTTTACAGTGCTTGGCATCACCCATTGAACACCAAAGAGATTCAGGATTGCCCTCCACAAAGCCGAGGACACAGGGCAATGCAACATAAGGTGATCAACTTCTTCTCCTGAGCTTTTATACATGTAGCACCAATTAACAAGTGTAATTCCCCTCTTTCGGAGATTTTCAGCAGTCAAAATCACTCCCCTTGCCGCTAGCCATGCAAAAAAGCACACATTCGTGGGCGCCCTAGGAATCCAGATCGCGGAGTATGGAAAAGTGGTCTCCTCTCTCACCAGCATACTCTGGTAAAATGACTTTACGGTGAACAAACCATCGCCACGCAAGCCCCATCTCCAAGAGTCGCAGGATGGCTGGAGCATGTCTTGCCCGTATAGCAGTGCCAACAAAACTTGAAGCTCCGCAATCTCCCCATCTTGCATGTTCCTCCTGAATGAGAGGTCCCATACTACCCCCCTTCATGCTCCTTGCGAATCTGTTGGACTGTCAGTTCCTTCTGGTTTGAAACTCTGAAGACGTGGGGGAAGGAGACCCTCAAAGGATCCTCT